TTCAGACGTGTGCTCTTCCGATCTGAGATGACCTTAGTTCTTTAAAAAGCATCTTCTTATTTAGTAAAAGCCTTGATTGGTTTCACATATGGAACATTTGCTATGAATTCATTTTTGTAAGTTCACCTTGATGTAATAACTATTTAGTTCTATTGGATTATAATTTTTGTGGAGTTTGATCAATACAGTTCAACTAATAGTGCGGACTCCTTTAATGAATTTAAATATCCCATCAAATGTGATATTTTACTATAGTCTTATAATAGAGCTTACGAATTTCAACATTTTTAGCCAGTACATAGATGGATAAACATTATTTTAATTTACTGATTAACCAACTACCTTGAATTTCTATTAGATGGATATCTTTTGATTAAACCTAATGAAATACTGAAAAAAATTAACAGATTAAGTTATGAATCTAAAAATGTAATATTAAATCTTGGATCAATGTTCTTTTACTTGCTCGCAATGATACCATTATATGCTACAATGATTTTAATTTCTAGAATAGTCCATTATAATAGTTTGTAAATAACTAAAATTTGAATTACAGTTTTAAATTTAGGACTCTTAAGATATATTCTTGGGTTGAAACGAAACTTTATTTTAGCATTATATTAAGAGTATTATATGAGGGATATTTTGATATGTCAATTAATTGCTTATTTAACTTATCAGATGTATTATTCAGCTTTTGATTTAATTTTATTTTGTAGATTCAATGGAATAATTCAGGAGATGGATTAGCTACAATGTTTTCTTTCATTTTGCTATTGCTCTCTCTAAGCATCCCTATTTTGATACTATTTATTACACATTTTGAATTTAAAACTTTGAAAAGGAGAGGCATATCACATAAATTTGAGACTCTATTTGAAAATATTAGATAAGATTCAGACATAGCTATGCTTAATACTTTCCTTTAAATAATGAGGCGCTTAATCTTCGCATTAAATTATATATTTCTACAAGATTACTCTTGCTAATAATTATAAATTACACTGATCACATAAATTCTATTCACAATATATTTGATTTCAGTAAAGCCATTCACAAGTAAGGTGATATATTACTAAGAGTTATTTAACGAAAGTTGTATGCTTTTAATAATTTACTAATTGATATCATTTACTGATATTCAATATGAAGGTCAAGGCTATATTGAATACAATATTGGTTGGTCAATAATTGCTATAACCTTTACTAATATTGTTGCGAATACGATGCTTATGCTCTGGGACTCATTTTTTAATTTAAAGGGATTATTTGCCAAATTTTATGAAAAAGCGAAAAAGATGATAAAAACTGATAAAAAATCAACCAATTATTAATTAGAAAGTATCGGAATTAAAAAACAAAAGAATAGATTAAATCTTTTTATCAATAAGAAAGAAAAATCAACAACTAATTTAAATTAAGATCTAGCAAAAGTCATGGCAGATGAAAAAAAAATGAGTAATTTAGCTTATTTGCAGAAGAAATCTAGAAAGTAGTCTTTAAAGGCAAAAAAATCCTCTTAGTAAATCTAATAACATAAAAAAGTAAAAGATTCTCTTATAAATCAATTTAATAATACTCAATAAAAGGCACTAGAATTCGAACAGTTCTAATAAAGAATTTAGCAAAAGAAAGCGAATTTAAGAGAAAGTGAAGATTAATTCTTGATGCAAATTTTCAATATCGATAATTAGCATCAAGATAAGTAGTTACCAGATTAGACTCACAAAAAAAGGAATAAAATTGTAAATTAAAATAAAACTTAGTAGAATATGGGAAACTATTAAAAGGCTAATTATTTAAAAAGTAATAGGAGAAAAACTTTTGATTAGCATAAATAGCAAGATTAGATTAAGAAAATGTATGTCAATGGGCAAATGAAAAACAACAATTTCATAAAGGATGGAGTTAATAATGATATTGATTAGAGAAAATCTTCGATGGATACTCAAGATACCCAGCTAATTCAAGCTTTTGAGTCAGTAGATTACATTTAAAGTTTTAAATTTGGAGATTTGCCCCAAGTCAATGATTATTTTAAGAAATGATATTAATATTTGAAAACTACATAAACTAGAAAGTAAATTAGCATAATTACAAGAATTTATATTTAGCAAAAAGCAATTTATTAATGTGTCTTTGAAATTCAGAGATTTTTATATCAATGGGGTTTTGGGGTTTTGGGG